CACGTGCAAAGGCTCGGAGGTGCGACTGAACTGGGAGGATTGGTAACTCGGGGACGTTTTGTGTCTTCTGGGAACAGAGATTGTGAGGCAGAGTTACTCTTGCAGCAGCATGCTGGAGGTTGCACTTGCATTTTGAGAACTCCGGCAACCGTGGAGAGTTTTGAGCACAGTAGGGACTCTATACATAATGTTGGGATTTTTAAAATTTCCCAAGGGATGTTCAGAAGAAGAGAATAGAAGGAAGCGATGAAGACGTTGAGGCATTGGGAGGTAAAATATTTGTTGAAGGTCTTATAGCTAGTAGGAGGTGGCTTTTGGCATACAGAACTCACCAGAACCACGAGGTTAGAGATCCGGCCTGAGGTCACTTGGTTCCACGACTAAAAGTAGGTTACAGAGAGGCCTGTGTTCACGGAATCCCACCATGGACTCAATCCTGAATGGCCTTGCCTTTTGCACGTCTTCTCATGCTGCAGAAGGTCTTAAGGAACCCACACAAGGAGGGCATGTTCTAGTTCCTCACTGGCCCCGACTCCCACCCCCGGGTTGTGTAGATTGTGGTGTCCTGGGGCTCCTAAGTGCTTTTTCTCCAGTCCTTCGATCTGGGGATCTTGGAGAAACCTCAAAGCCAGGGATCTATGTCCATGATACAGGTTATGGGGAGGTGTTTCCATTTCTGCAACTGGTGTAAATGCATGTGGAGGTTAACCCAGAAGCTGATACTAGGATATGCAAATACATAGAGGACAAACTGAATAGATGGAGGAGGTGATGTTACCTGGGTCTTAACAGGCTCTATGTGGTTGCAGAGTGCAGAACAGAATGTGGACTTGAAGGAGGTGGAAGGAAGACTAGGGTGGAGGCTCCTGGCATAGTTGACATGAGAGCTAATGGAGCAGAGTTGCGGTTTAGGAGATGTGGCTGGATTCTGGATTCATGTTTTTTAAAGGGGCAACTGGAGTTTCTAATGTGACCGTTAAAGGCTTGAAAGAGAGGATTTAGGAATGACCCCAGCAGTTCACCAGTGTCCCTCCCCTCCCTTAAAAAAAAAAGAAAAGGAAAGAGGAATGACTCCAGGGTTTTTCGTCTTAGCAGCTGTAGCATTGGAAGCTGCATGAACTGTGATGAGCAAGTTGCTGTTAGCTATAAATATTCACTGAGGATATCAGGAGGTTTGTTCTGGCCATTGTTAGTAGAAAAACTCCAAACTGTTTTTCCTCTGCTCTCCTCCCAGAACAGCCAACACAGAATAATTCTGTGACCAGATAGATGTGTGTGGAGGGTCTTCCCCACACACCAATTAGTTCTACAGAGGACACCAGGTGGGCGTCCTTCAATTCGACTCCAGCGTGATCTACAGGTTGAGGGCTCAATCCCACGAGACTGTCCCCCAACATCTGGTACCAATGACAAGCTCCAGGACGTTTTGCCTGTGCTTCTGATTGATCTGGTATAGATCTATTTCCAATGACCCCTTCCTTAAGTTCCATTAATTTGCTGGAGCCAGTCACAGAACTTAGGAAGTCACTTATGTGTACTGGTTTATTATAAGGGATATTAGAAATGATAAAGAAGAAGAGCTGCATAGTGCAAGGCATGGGGGGAAGGGGCACAGAGCTTCCATACCCCGCCTGATTGTACCACTCTCCTGGAAGCTCCCTGAACTCTGTCCTTTTGGGTTTTTTCTGGAAGCTTCACAATATAGGCATGATTGATTAATCATTCACCGTTGCTGATAAGTGTCAGCTCCATTTCTTTTTCTGGAGATTTCGGTGTTAGGATGAACTTCCCAGAACTCTGATCCTACCTCAGTCTTTTCCAAGACCAGCCCTCATCATGAATTTACACCAGGGACTGCCAGCCACCAGCGAGTCATTAGCATACACGAAGACATCAGTTATGAGATTCCAGGGATTTTAGTTGCATGCCACAAAAGGGGACGAAGACCAAATATATCTTTCATAATATCATAGCTTCCTTCATTAAGAGTGTGAGATGTTTTAGAAGCCGCTAAGTGGAAGTATCTAATAGGCATCTGGGCACATAGTTGGGATATCTGGGGAAGGGTTGATAATGGAGACATCCAGTATATGGTAGCCACTGTGTGGACCAGGTTAGTGAGCCATGGGTCACATTTAGGAGGGTCAGTCTTTAGATTATAGTTTTAAAGCTATTAGCGGAACAACAAGGAGAAGTTGGGGTTCTTGCTTGGGTACCTGGGAGATGGTATTGACCTCCAGAGACACAGGTGAGGGAGGTCAGTGGCCAGAAAGGGAAGATGTATTAGACAGCATACTTTGGCAGCAGATGTAGGCTTTTACGGAGAGAATAGACATGGGAGGGATGCAGAAGCACTGAAGTAATTTAAGGTAGATGACACTCAGGTTGGAGCTTGTGCTTATTCACCCCGCGGTGGATTTACCAAGATTCCGTGACAACTTCGGTGGGGTCTGAGGTGTTTTATTCAGCCCGGTGGCTTAGGTCAAAGACATAT